TATTGGCCTATCGCAATAACTGTCTTTCATGTTGGCTTATAATAAATCTCGGTTTGAAAATTCCCCACCCGCTCGGTCCCGAAAGAACGGAACGTCTTAATCGTCTTATCTTTAGTCTCCCGGTTAATGTATACGCGCAACTCGTATCTCTAGAAAAAGTATTACTATAAAAATCTTCCTCTACAAGATCTATTCTACAAAAGAAATGATATCAATAAGTTACATTACATTAAGTTATATTACATACATATGCGATTAATCTTGAATGGCGTCGTGAAGGTCATGTCAAGGTCGACTTGAATTTTTTAAATGGGAACCCTTACTTTTTATTTCATATTCTTGCAGTAAAATTCTCTTCTCAAATTACAGATAGATAGACTTGTGCACGAAAGTGTCGCCACATAGTGACAACAAGAGTAGATTCACGTTTTGCTCTAGCGGCGAAGTCTGTAAAGTCACGCTGTCCGACTTGGATGTTTCTTAATGTGAAAATGTGAACCTTCTAGTTTTTTGAGATTTCGGACTTTAAACCAAGATATCTCCGTTGGGAAGGCACGGAAGAAAAAAAACTTTTTTTCGTGCCTCGATCTCAACTTTTGATTGAGTCTAGGTCGAACTCAATCGGTTTAACCGTTGCTGAGATTTGAAAATCTCAGAAGTCTCGATCGGTCCTATATACTCGCGTAAATGAAGCACGGGATAACCTCGCGCAGCGCGCGCACACTTCGTTGGCGCGTATACTTGGCGCGAGGTACAGTCGGCGTCAATGAATCGTTTCGTAGTCCCGGGAGCTAGGGGTAAGAAAGACGGTATTCCCTAGAAGTAAGTACTGCCAACGGGCGCCGCACTAACTAACTGTAGCAGATTTCGATGAATTGACCAATTACAGTATTTACTGCTAGGGAATACCGTCCCTCTTACCCCTAGCTCCCCGCGTCCACGAAACGATTCATTGACGCCGACTGTACTACCGTGTCTCTTGATAATATTAAACACTAACAGATGTGCACAGACACACGTATAATTAAATTTTAAATTAAATAATTCGTGCAGAGGAACACGAGCGTGGTTGCATAAAATGTCAGATGTTCACCGTCTTATTCAACGTGTCAAAATTTTTTTTTCAATAATAACGTCCGACACGTCACTTCGAAATGCACGACGAGACGGGACGTCGAGTCCTGATTTTCGCTTTTGACGTACGGTATCCGGCCGAAGTTAATGCCATATTGCCGGTCGAAGGTTATGAAAATCCGGTCAAATGATATGCGAACGCGCATAAAGAGAAAAATATCTGAACTTCGCGCGGCGGAGTTCGCGTTTTGCGCCGTTGCGAATGCAACGAGAACCATAAACCACGAAAAGTCGCTGTAACGCGTGCGCGCATGTTTCTTCATTGCTTCGACTGTGCTTTTCCCAGATTTAACTGGATTTATGCGGCCCCGTTGCCTGTGTTTCTTTCACCGCTGCCTGGCTGAAAATATGCTAGCGCGCGCTCGCATGCGAAACTTCGGAGTTCACGACGAGAGAGAGAGAGAGAGAGAGAGAGAGGCTCTTTGTTCGCCGCGTGATTGAATGAAAGCCTCCTGCACAGGGAGAGTAAATTGACGTAGAATTTTGGAACAGAGAGCATGATTAGTATTTAATGGAAATATATATCAGCCCACAGAGGAACGCGCGATGTGTCTGTGTGTGTGTGTGTTGTAACGCTGAATATAAATTTTCCGGGAATTTCCTGTCCGCGACAGACGCCGTACGTATGTACGTCGAACGACAGTCGACGGATCGTACGGATTTTTATGAGCGCGATCGTAATTTGTTTTTTGTTTTGCAAGAGAGATGCGCACTTATCGTAAATTGTTAATTCGACGAGAAGCACAACCGCGCGAACAAAAGCAATAGGAGAAATTGGGAAAACTATCTTTCCACTTCGCGGATCCTTACAAGAGAAATTCGTAAAGCCGGCACCGGCTTTTCCAGCATCCGCAGTGCGTTATTCGTTTTCGCACAAAAGTCTTTCGTTCCCGAGCAGCGTTCGATAAAAATGGAAAGGGAAATGTTTTATTGTCGTCGCAATACACGCCGACGGGTACTTACGTGCAAGTTTCAGCGCCGCGTTTATGTGTCCGATCGGTTTGTTGCGGCTTAACCTAATTTCCGAAATAGATCGGGAGTAATCCATACGGTTGCGCGTCCTCCGCTCGGGATTACGGATATAGTACGTTCGGATGTGCGGCGCTCCGTCATTGCAGTAAACAACGAAATTTCGCCGCAGCTTATCTTACGTTATTGCAACGAGCGGCGAGAATGTGACACAAATCGGTAACAAACGCAGCAGTTTTTTTTTTTGTCTTTCATCAAATTTGAATCCGCGAGATTCTTTTTCGCGTCGGGCTGAATTTACGTTCAAACGACGTCTCGGCAATTCCATGATTCTCGGGTGACTTGATAATGAAAGTTCCGTGTTCACACATCAGATCTTGTAAACTCGTGCTCTCAATCGAGACTATCGATCGTACCGGGCTTTAAAATAGTAATTGTACGTATCGCTTGTATCCCGTTTTACGTACGACCGGTGCTGTCTCATTGCGAGATCGGCAAAATATGATTTAATTTGAAATTAAATGATTTACATATTATAATTTCTTCGGTAAAAAGTAGCCGGAGAGAGCGAGGAAACGAGACGAGGGATTGGGATCGAATTATACACGTGCGCGCGATCGCGGCGTCCAATCTCGGCGACAAAAAATCGACAAGATCGGGAGAGGGATTTCGGGCCGCGAAACGAGCGTAATTAAACTCGCGAAAATACAAAGTTTCGTTTCCTCTGTTTTGCATATTCCTTTTCCGGCGCGCAATGGGACGCGGGGCAAAACTAAATCTCCGCTTTTACTATCGGCGTACGTGGGGAACGTACGGAACAAGTGGTTCACTTACGACCGCGGGTAAATTAATTTCCGTGTCCGCGCGCGTTTTGTCCTTTTTTCGCAAACTCCTCCGCAGACATTTCGTCCGCGCTTTCGCTATTTCGAATGAGCCGTCCGGTCGCCTCGCCACTCCGGGGAATTCGCTCGTATTTATGAGACGCTCTCGAGTTGGAAGTCACGTATTCGCATAGTCGCATCCGTATCGACGTCCTAGACCCCGGCATGTTAAAAAAAAAAAAAAGAGGACGGAATAAAAAGCGAAACAAGCCCCGGCATTAACGATCCTTTCTTCCCGCGGACGAGGGGAGGTACGCGGGAGAGAGAGGATGCGCGTGTTACAGCCGTGCACGTTTACACCGTACCTCTTATTAATTTCCACGATGCGCATAATCCAGCCCCCGGAATTCCCTCGCCTCGTTCTTTATTCCTCTCTCGCTCTCTCTCTCTCTCTCTCTCTCTCTCTCTCTCTCTTTCTTTCTCGCTTACCATATATTTCTTGTTCGCCGTCTTATATCTGTACATTTTGCACGGAGAGATTTTCCTCAGCATCCAGAGACTCGAGTTAATAAATTAAGAGACTTAGGGGTCGGAGAGAGATAATTAAAGACTTGATATGGAGATGATATCAAGTGCCTCGACAACGGTCTCGAAGATAAATGTTCTTTGAATAAAATGATTGTACTCTTTCCGAGAAATTAACTTCGATGTGTGGTTTTACGTCGATTATTTCGAAATCGCTGAAGAGAGATAAAAATTATTTTAAATTACCTGATTTTTTTTTTCTTTTTTTTCAAGTAATAATGTCCACACGCGTGCGGTTCGCGGACGTGCGGACACAGTCCGTTCGCGTTGATACAGAAAGCTTATACGAGCATTCACAGATACGTTCTTGCGGCATCAGCTTATTTGACGGTCTCAGCAGGTTCTCGACGGTCCTTTCAGCGCGGTCGTTATTAACTTTCTATGGTACGTGCTCGCGACGAAACGTCGGAATATCCTCGCGCGGATATCTCCGAAGTTTTTCTCTCTATACACACACATACAATATACGTATATATATATAGTATATATGTGCATTTCCACACATAAGGAAGTTATTAAACCCTATCACATCGATTCTCTACTTTCTCTGTACTTCGCGCTGATTGAAACGCGCGGAAAAATGAAGATGCAAATGCGCGGCTAGGGGAAAAAAATATTACTCCGATTGTGCGCATGTGGCCGAGAATATAATGAAATAATGGTCAGTTAATCGCGATATCGCAAAAGAAGGAAATAAATGAATACATCAAATTTACGATTGTGTGTGTATATATATATATATGAACTATTACATATTAATTCGCTCAATTTATCGAAACGGATTTATTTATTTATTTATTTTTTTCGTTTATTGCGCGTGCGAAAAACTGATGCTGTACAACGTAACCGCAGGCGTATCGATTCTTACAGTTCGATTGTCAGCGATCGTTCTGATTATTAAATTATTTCCGCTTTAGTTAAACGCGCAAGCAATTAACGTGTCGCTTCTTGCGCGAAACACAAGATGTCTCCTTTCTCTCTCTCTCTCTCTCTCTCTCTCTCTCTCTCTCTCTCTCTTTGCACACACGAGAGATTTCGGTATTAACTAATTACATAAATGTTTCATCATACATTTTACCATACACGCTCCGATTTAAATTACTCTTAATTTTATCATCTAAGTGTGTAATCTCTTTTCTCAAAGTGCGTTACATCCCGTGCACGCGCCATTTTTCTTAATACTTTTAGTTAATTATATCCAACAATGTACGGTATTGTACGTTCACGTGCGCTCAAAGGGCTTTTCCGCAAATCGCGAAAATTCCCTCCTCCCCTCTACCGTCGCGCTTTCCCACTCTCTCTCTCTTTCTCTCTCTGTCTCTCTGTCTATCCGCGGCGCGACCGCGTGACGGCGTCTCGCTCGCACTGCGCGCGTGCTGTTGACCGGTCGTCATGGCAACCTAGCGACGAGTCTACAGTGGCCCCAAGGTGGATGGACTGCAGGCTGGCGCGCCTGAACAGACAGAGCAGGAGTCAGTGCACGCGCGGACGCGAAGCCGGACGTGTTAACGTCTGACAAACTTCACTTCAACCCTCTTTTTCTCTCGTTTCCCCGATCATCTATCCCTCGCGTCACGCGAATCATCATCCCCGCTCAACTCTCGATCGCGCCGCGCTCGTGATATACTTGTGTCTCGACTCCGGATCATCATCGTCATTATCCCGGCCGTTGGAGGAAACGAGACGCTCTCGACGTCGCCGGAATCAGCCGCTGACACTATGGAGTGACTCGACCGACGCACACATCGTTAACCAGGTGAGGTTAGAGTAGAAAAAAAATCCGACGGTGTCGGCCGCGCGAGGAAGAATTGACCGAGATTATTCGTGAAAAGACGATTGAGATGATTGTATTTAAATGTCGTGACGTCTGCAAGCGCAGTTCTCTTTGACACGAAGATGAATGCGTGCAGTTGCTGGTTCTGTCACAGTGTATCTTGGCTTTAAATCGTGATTTGATTGTTTTGCGGATGACCAAGTTCAGAGTCTGCGACTTTGGTTTTAGAAAGAGATAAACGCTTCTTTCTCTCTCTCTCTCTCTCTCTTTTTCTCTTGAATTGAATATAAAGCAACAATCAATCAATCAATCTCTCTCTCTCTTTCTCTTGAATTCTAGTGTAAACATTAATTGTCAAATCATTTGGAGCGAATTGACAAGCGACTGCAGGTCGATTGAAATTGCGCGTTGTGTCTACCTGTTCGAATTCGCGTCTTGTTTGCAACAATATAGTTGCGCGCTCAAATAATTATTCAACAGTGTAGCTTTCTTAGTGCTGTGATAATTTCGACGTGTAATATAACAGAAACAGAATATTGTGTATTTCAGAAAAACATCAAAATGATTTTTGTTTTTATTCAAGATTTTATTTTTTCAAAATCGAGAAAAAGCGGACGATTACCGTAAGACAAACTTGCAAAACCAGAGTTTTTTTTTTTTTTACATAGGTTGAAAAATTTTATTTATGCAGCTTAAAAAACGGGGACAGTTTGCATGATAATCGCGGTCGGCGATTATTTGTTTTTCATTCAGTGTATTTTGTCTAAAAATAGAAAACGATTTTACAAAACGCGTTTTCCCTGTCGGCAAGTAGAAAGAGTCGAATAAGGTCAGACGCGCGTGTGTCGCGCATTTATCTGTCAATCGCGCGCGTTTTGCGGAATATTTACACGCGCTCGGTCGCATTGCGTTTTTCATTTAAAATTGCTTCGATAAATATTCACGGCGTATCGAAAAATTGTTGAACACGTTAGGAGCATCACCCTCCCTCCTGCATTGCTGTCCCGCAGAATTGGTTTAATAACGATTGATGAGCAAATTCGCGCTTCGTTCCAACTGATGACTACGCGTGTTGCGCGTAACGTTTTGTTGCAAGTTTCATAAAACATTGCGTATACACGTAAACAGCGCATTTGTGGACGGATAGGCAATTTTTCGACGTTTACCTCGCGTTTGTTGCGCAACGGCGCGGCATTGAATTAAAGTTGATTTAGCAGTTCGAAATGCTTGAAATTATATTTATAACCGAGATATTACAGAGCAGAGTTCGTATAAATAACATTACATTGATTGTAAAACATTGAACGAGACATTTAACGATTGAGCTGAATGAATTGCAAAGTACGAGTTTATTATCAGTACATGTCATTTATTGGTTTGATAAATTAAGGAAAAGAACAAACCGTGTACAATTGTTTCTTTCCTTGAAGAAAAACTATAAAGAACATTTTTTTCGTTGCATAAAATGTTATAAAATACACAAACACACACACACACACATAGTGGTTTATTTTGATGCCTGGCGAATAGAAGCGTAACATTTCGTTAGAAACGGGAACGCAGTGATGTAACGAAATGCGCATTATTTTGAACATATAATTTTATACGTAAAAAAGTAAAATTATACTTGTTCAAGTACAATATGTACAGTAAAAAGTCTGGAATTTCATTGAAAAAAGTCGGGATTATTATTACACTAATTTTTGTTTACCTTTGTGTGTAACTCCACAAAGAATGTTTATATATGTTTATAATTTAAATATTTTTGTCTCATGACATCACACAATTGTGCAATATATATCAAAATTAAACTTTCATTTTATATTCTATATCAAACTAGACTTTTTACTGTATATTTCGAAATTTTGTTTTATTATCTCCAAACAGTACACGTTTCGTTACTTGTCACATGCACGATCGTGAACATTTAAATAAAAAAACTATAATATTTAAATTTTTTTACAATATTCCTTGTGACGTTTTTGTGACGTGTTTGTCTAAATTTTTCCGCTATTGTGAAAAAAAGAACAAATAAAAAAACGACCGATCTCCGCGCACCGATTTGTATCATTTAATCCGAAAAATCGATAATAATTGAATTGATGTGTGCAAAAGTTCAGCGCGAGGCAAAAAAAACACATCGGAACGAGATTTGCGATCGCGCACACTCGACAAGGTCGAAGATTATTTTTGATATAGCGGTCGGATAGATTCGATTTCAAGTCGCGGAGGAATCGTGGGAAACTCCATTGCTTCGAGCGGGTGCCGGACTTCGGCATAAACGAGGTGAACTATAGCTCAGGAATTCGCGATGCGAACGTGTTCCAAAGTCCGAGTTTGCCCCGAGTTTTATTGAAGCTAAGTGACGAGTGCGAGTAAACGGAGCGATCGAACCCCTTTGACCGGCGACCTCGATAAGAAAACTATCTCGAGAGGTAGATGTGTGTTGAAAGTTTCAAATATTGATAAATCGGTTATTTATATCGCAAATTACTGTGCATTGAAAAACCATCCAGTTACAAGAGCATATAAATAAAAGCGAGATAAAATAAAAGCAAGAATAAAATGACAAAAATCAAAGTAGTGTAAGAATTGTCACTAATTCTTCAAAAACAAAAAAAGAAATTTTTATTTTGTTCGCAAAGTTTCAATTACAATAACTTACAAACTATACGTGTATGCGACAATATTACACTCGTGATAATGCTTAAAACCGATCGTGTGACTTCTGATTTAGAACTGCGCTCCGGATCGAGTATTTTTATTAACAATGTAGTTGTTGAATCCTTTGGTTCTTCTCATCGGATTCGATTTTTCTTTATCGATCCTCTGTCGAATTGTTTTCTCCCATTTGTTAATTTGTAGAGGCGACTCATAGACTATTTCCGGATCGGATATTTATCGCTTATTAAAAATTTTGATACAAGGATCACAAGGAATTTTTTTATTGATTTCTCAGGGTTACAAATATTTCTCTGCATTCCTCTTCCGCATCTTCCACGCCCAAGTTTAAGCTGATTCGAGACCCGATTCCAGTTTGCTTTTTCAATCGACAAAACTCGACTTGAAAGAGACCGGTCCGAAAAAATCCGACCGGTCGGCGGATTCGAACTCGGGACTTCCCGCTCGCAGCCATCGCACTCAGGCCTACTGGGCCGGTAAAATTTTGATACATATATGTGTCTTATCTCGTTCAGGTTTGTGTCCGTATTAGTTCTAGTCTCTTAATTTTACGACTATTTTTTGAAGTTACGAGAACCGGCTCGCGCGTAAAAAGCCATCCCCGTTTGTTAGTTTATCCCTTTCCGAGAATCGAAGAGACTTGAGCATTTCATTCAGTTTCCCTCGGCTCGGTTTTGTTCGTAACGCGTGACTTCGGGTCCGTCTTATCTCGCTAGACTTTCTATTTTCCGTTCGGGAATTTGTTCGAAACTATTTTTTAGAATTTTAACTGGCCGTAACAATTACACAAAAAGGCAATATGTGTATAATAATCAGAAGAGAAATCTGTGTCTTCTTGAATGTCGAGGTTTATAAATTCAAAAAAAGTGTCTTAATATCTCTTTCTCTCGTCCCGGCTGTGCTTCTGCTTTTGCCGTCGCGGCCGTAAAGACCGAGGAAAGTGATACGGTTATTTGCATGTTTGCACATTTGTTGCGCGATTCCGCTGTATGCATTTCGGTATCCCGCATAAGTCACGGAATTATACGTGTATACGGTCGCCGCGTATAGCCGCGCGCGCTCGCAAGGCAAGGTGCTTTCGTGATATTAATTTATGACTTCGCATCGCGCTTGATCTTAACCCGTAAGCACGCGCGCCGTGGGATAACTAAGAGCCCCCGGTGTTCCCATTATCTTTCGGCAACTGCGCCACAGAAACGGGAATTTAAGCAACACTCCGCGCGCCGCGCGAGAACCAGAACGCCATAACCGCGAACGTGATTAATGCGAATTAAACGGAATGTTGTTTTTTTTTTTTTTTTTTTTTTTTTTAGCGAATTTAATTAAAATTGGCTTTTGATCGAAATTAAAATTCAAATCGAAATTTGCCGTTTTGAAATTTCGCTCGATGAAAAAATTACGACAAATTAAATCAAAGAAAGTAGTAAAAATCGAGCTCGCGATATGGAAGTAGTGAGTTAAAAGTATTAACAGGTCGTGAAAAAAAAAAAAAAACTAGATATTCTCGAAAAATTATGGAACAAAAAATTTGAAAAATTAATTTTGCAAATGGAGTGTTTATTGAGGGAAAAAATGCTTTTAAATTTCGCTTCAAATTTCAATATTGACGTTTCTTCGCCAATTACATAAACTGCATCCGCGCGTATTGATTTGCGCGTTGAGTGTCGGTCGGTCTCTTTCGCGAACTACTTCGCTCAGATTAGCGAGACAAAAGGACGATCTTTCACGTCGGGGTCTAAGTGGAGGTCCCGTCGCGCACCTCGTCTCCTTGTTTTGCTCCGAAGGTCAAAGGGAAGAAAGACGTAACGTTGTAGTTTCTAACACCTTTCCCGCCTTCGTCTTCCGCACGCGCCCGTTCGTCGTCTCTTTTTTTCACCCTCTCCTGTTCTTACGCTTCCTCCCTTTTCCCATTGCTTTGGGACGCGTCGACAAGAGAAAAAGACCGTCTCGAATGGCGCAAAAGCGCAATTTGTCCCGGAAAACAGCCGGTTTTTGTCGTGTCCGCCCCTCGACATCGCGCCGGATTTGTCATTTGTCCGAAGAATCGAAGTAGCGCCTCGGTCCGCGAGATCAATCGACCGCGCTTTCACTCGTCGTGAAAATCGACGATGGAATTTGTCGATTTACCTAGCGATTTTTTTTTTCCAGAAACACGTCACGAGCGAGAGAGAGGCTTACGTTCTGCCGATGAGCAAATATTTAAAAGCGCGCGATGTACATCGGTTAGCCGATCGGCCGTTCGACCACCTTTCACAGAAGCGACACGGTTTTATTTTGTTAATGTAAAAGAAAGAATGAAG